TAATGTTAGATTGCATTTGTTTGTGTGAATAGAACATAGTAACTGGAAAAGACGGGCTTATATGATAATTATCTTTCCAATATAGACACCTTATCTATTGGGCTATGTAACCAAATAATAAATTATCCAGTACTTAATACATATTTATAAGATTATGGTCGATATTGTTTAATAAATGCTTCATGAATTCTATCCTCATAACTGTTAATCCACCAGATGTACCCAATAGAGCAGTCATGTGAAATTTCAACAGGCATCAACCACATTCTATTTGAAAGAAAAAATGCCTCCAGTAAAGGAGGGGGGAAAACCAACATGGTCCCATATTGTTCACGCTGTGATGAATAAATCTTGCTCATTCATAATGAAGAGTGCAAGAGCAATTTTGGAGAAAAGAGAGACTCATAAACAAGTGCAAGATTTTTTATTCTCAGAAGAGTTATCTTTATTGTCAAAGCAACCTCAGCAAAACCACAATACAAGTATGATCAGAAACCTAGACTTAAGGTGTATATCATTGCACTTGAGGTATGAAACAGAAACATAATGAAGAAAAAAGAAGGATGTAACAAAATTATCCCTTAAGAGGACTCACTGTCTCTAACCGCAGAACAAGCACATCCTTCTTTTGGCCAATCCTGTGGGCCCTTGCCTGTGCTTGCAGGTCAACCTACAAAAAGAATAAATAATAGTTTATGAGAACAATCACAAAAGAAAAAAATAACAACTTTAGGAAGATAAAGATAAAAAGAAATTGCCTGAGGGTTCCAATCAGTATCAAATATGATGACAGTATCAGCTGCTTGAAGATTTACACCAACACCACCAGCTCGAATACTACCAGAAATACAATAGGATGTTAACTGAGAAATTAAACTGTTTCGGGATCCTACTCATGCAAGTGACCAAGGGGAAAAAACAGAATCAATGGTAAGGAAAAACTTCAAACCATCCTTTGAAGCATACAGAAAAGTACCTTAAAAGAAATATGAAGTATTGTGAGTCTGGACGGTTGAATTGTTCAATGAGGGCACCTCGATCATTTCCAGAAGTGTGTCCATCCAAACGAAGGTACTTGTACTGTTTCCATGAAAGGTATTCCTCCATCACATCAAGCAATCTGGTCATTGTCGAGAAAAACAGGACCTGCAAGAATCATACACAAAGAGTTGGGAATGCAACGTTGTGATAAACAGCACTAGAATTAAATAATTTGTCATCTAAGTCTAGTATATTTCAGACAAAAGAAGTTCATATACCTGATGCCAAGAAATATGTATATAGCAACAGATTAGACATACAAACTAGAAGGGAACAAAAAATACAAAAAAATGGCCTTCATACAATTTCATAGATGAATTACACTTGTACACCAAAAGAACCACACATCACACCACACCATGAACAAGAAGTCAACCACACTCGATGGGGGCATTTGGTGTTATTCCCCCTCTTTTTGCTTGCTATCCATTTAATTCAAGAAGAAGCCAAATCACTTACAGGATTAGTTCCACTACTCGGTCCACATTCAAGACAACAAATAACGATGAACAGTGAGATATTTGGTGATTCTCCTGTTTGTTCATTATCCCATTTAGGGGCTGTTTGGATGATCTTGTCAAAATTGAGGATTTATGACACAATTTGAAAATAATCATCCGCCTCATCACTTTTACGATTTTACCTTGAGCTTTTCCATTGTTTGGCTTCGAAACTACACTTTTTGTTCATTATCCCATTTAGGGGCTGTTGGGATGATCTTGTCAAATTTGAGGAATTATGACACAATTTGAAAACATTCATCTACCTCATCACCTTTACGATTTTACCTTGAGCTTTTCCATTGTTTGGCTTCGAATGTACATGCAAGGTTGTGGAAAGTGGAACGAAGCAGTGAGCCAGTGAGGCACTGCTTAGGCTCGGTGAGGCACCGCTTAGGCTTTCTACGCCTTAAGCGGATCAAAGTGTAAAAAAGCGCCAAGCAAAAAGGCACTCCGATTTAGCTATGGATAAATATTCAAAACACATGAAAACTTCAAGAAAAATCTAAAAATTCTATAGATGCATAGCGCGATTTATAGACATCATAAGATCAAATAGATGTCTAACAATCACATAATATTAACAAAGTATTGCCTTTGGTGCTTCATTGAAGCTTTGATGAGGCGCTACCTGGAGATGGTGAGAGGAGCTCAAGAGAGGTGGTGGAGAATGGTGAGGCAGCAAGTGGTGATGGAGGTGGCGAGAGAAGGTGCTGGAGGTAGTGGTCGAGGCGGTGGAGGAGCAGGAACAGTGGACTAAAGCTTTGATGAGGAGCTTTCTGGAGATGAGAGAAGCTCAAGAGAGGTGATGATGTATGGTACGAAGCAGCGGGAGAGAAGTTGGAGATGGTGGGAGGTGTGGAGGCGTTGATGGAGGCGGGAGAAGCTCCTGAAGGTAGAATTGGTGACGGGAGGTGGCACATTTCATGGCCAGAGGTGATGGGCGGACGATGATTTGGAATCTTATTGTTTTTTTGGGTTTCATAACAGAGAAAAAGAAAGGGATAATGGAATACGAGGGGGGTTTTGTGTTTTAAAATGCTATTAAGCGTTTTTTTAGCTCCTTTCACTGCTTTTCGCCGCTTTTTTGCACCTCTACGAGCAAAAAGTTCCAGTGGTGATTTATACCACCGCTTTAAGGCAAAGCGAAGCGGCTAAGGACCACTTCCGATTTATACCACCACTTTTTGTAGCTTTTTCAACAATGCTTGGAATACATTGGATCTATGACAAGCTTTTCACTTTCCACCAAATCCTCTCATTTTGAAGTGATTTTGATTCAAGGAGATAGAGATGACAAAGCACTCTATTATGACTTAGTTGGGGATAAGAAAAGGAGCTCTATTTGGAGCCATGTTGCATCTTGTTT